CAACCCTAGCCACCACAGCGAGGTGTTCTTTTCATGCAATAACAATGGCAACCGCTAAGCCAAGGGCAAGGCCCTTGCAACCCCTCTTCCCCGCCTCGGCCCACCTTCGCCGACGCCTTCCCGCCGTCCGAGGCAGCGCGTGAACGTGCCAGTGCACCAGGCGGAGTGGCACTGGCAGCACCACGTCCCTCTCCCCTACCCTAACGTCACCCTGCCGAACGACTGGCATTTGGAACCGGAAAGGATCCCAGTGTCGGCGGCGCCGCGGTCGGCACGGGTGCTGCTGACGCCGGAGCAGCGCAGCGACTCCACGTACGACGTCGGCTCACCCTATTGGGCGTGTTGATTCGCCTTCGAGCACGAGAAGGCCAGGTGACACAACGTCCGTGAATCACCCGTAACTCGCCGCCGCCGCCCATCGTCGTCCGCGACGAGGACCAGGAGGCAGAGGCCGCCTACCAGGCGGCCATGGCAGTTGTCCTCCGAGAGAGCAAGGAGGACGAGCGGCGGACGAGGAGGAGGAGGAGGAGGCGTACCAGGTGGCCATGGCGCTATCCACGGCCGGCGACTGCGTCGTGCCGTCGGTGGCCCCTCCGTCCCCAGTGAAGGCTAAGCCGGAGCCAACCCCCATCGAGCGCTACTCTTGTACCGTAGTAGGGCGCGAGTGGGTGAGCGCCCCGCCGGTCTGGTACGGGGCGACGGAGGCGCAGGAGGCGACGTACCTCGAGCACTGCAGCCAGCGACAGCTGGCCGAGGAGCGCCGCGACGACGAGTATCTCGAGCAGCTCGAGCGCGACGCCAAGGCAGAGCAGCATGAGGCGGAGGAGGAGGCGCGCCAGGCCGAGGCTGCAGCACCACAGCCCGCGGCCGACATCATCGTCGTTTGGAACATGGCTTACCCTTGGGCCGGGCCTGCGCCAACGCTCATCGACCTCACTGGTCCCGACGTCGACGACAAGGACGCCTAGTACAGCGCACCGCCTCGTAATTTTACTTTTTTAATATTTAATTAATGTAAATGTGGACGCGTGGACTCTGACCTGCCTTCCTGGCCAGCTTTAATGTTTAATTAATGTTTGTTTTTATTTTTGAAATGTTTGTATTCTTTTTTTTTGCGCGCCGCCATAAAATGGGTTGGGCCATCATTGGACGTATGCGCCGACCCAAAGGCGCAAGCGGACGTGGGTGTCCTCCGGGCCAACCCAAACGGACAAAAAGCGGACAAAATCGTCGTCCATTTGAGTCGGCGCGTTGGAGTTGCTCTAAGCGCCCATTTCATCTCCTCCTCTCTTTTTTGCTCGACTGGTACCTTGCAACCAGGCTAAGTGAATCCATCACCAAGAGCACGTCAGTGGAAAAATTCTGAGTTAAACTTATCAGCAAGGGTTCGTGTGGATGTGGTGTGTGCTTCGGTGACATGTGAGAGCACATGATGACCCTCGTACATGCCCATGTGGATCTGGCAGTGGTGTACTCGATACAATCCGAAGAAGATGACCATGACCGTGACCTCGTACACCGTGCCGCAGGAAGACCTCAGCAAGTCGGTCCATGAAAAAGGGGCCAGTCTAAAGTCTGTTCCTGATAGGAAACCAAAGATGAGAGGGAACAAATGAGCACGCAAAGCAGTAGGTGGGGCATCAGGAGAACGCGGGGTCGTACCATTCAACCTGTTGTGATTGTCATCCTGCTCGTCAACAACGGAGGCCGGCTAGCAATCTTCAGCCCCCACCTAGTGGAGGCAACCTAAATCTAAATGATATGGCTTCCAACCGAGCTAGGTGACTGTAACTGAATCCGTCACCAACATTAGCTAGTGTCGCTTAACCTACGGCCAAGGGAACCACAATTTTTTTAAAAAAAATCTAACCGTTGGCGACGAATTTATAAGTACAGAAGCAAGCAAACCAGTAGCACCAATTTATAGATAGCTAACTTATCTACGTAACAGTAACTGAACTCCTTCCCCAGTTTTAGTTGGGGTAACCTAACTGATATGGCTTCCAACCGAGCTAGGTGACAGTAACTACACAAGACACTCCCCAGCAGTAGGTTGGGCATTAGGATGACGTGGAATCGTACCTAGCAAGCTGTTGTGGTGAGTGCCATCGTGGTCATCAACATCGGAAGCCGGATAGCAATCTTCTTCAGTCCCCATCTGGTGGATGCAATCCAACTGATATCTTCCAACCGAGGAAGGCGACAGCAACTAAATCTTTCACCAACATTAGCTGGTAGTCGCTTAACCTGCCACCGAGGGAATCACAAGGTAAAAGCTCTAACCTCTGGAGATGAATTTACAGATTCTGAAGTAAGCAAAACAGTAACTTATTTTATTTTATTTGAGAGGAATAACACAAATTTTAGGTAAGCTAACTTAGCTAAGAAACAGTAACTGAAGTCCATCCTCAGTTTAACTGTTGCTTGCTCAAACTGCAACCGAGACCACAGGATAAACATAAACTACAGAAAAAGGATCATGTACATGACTGATGTTTGCAATGATTATTTTGGAAAATTTCCATGAATCTGTTGGGTTCCATTGTGGAAAAAGGGGACCTCATACGCTGTGCCGCAGGAAGACCTCAGCCAAGTCAGTCCATTGAAGGGGCTAGTCTAAGTCTGTAACTGCTAAACCTTTTTGCTCGTGGATTTTGTGGGTTTCCAAAGGTTTACTCTACACAAGAAAGGCATTACCGACATACAGAGGAAATCTAGAGTTCATGCAAACATAGAGAGGGAACAAATTGGCACGCAAAATTACAGCATGAAAATGTGGAACCACACAAGAAATTCACCATCAGCAGTAGGGCGTCAGCAGAACGCGGAACCGTACCATTCAGCCTGTTGTGAATGCCATCTTGCTCGTCAACAATGGAAGCGAGCTAGCAACCTTCAGTCCCCAACTGGTGGAGAAAGCCTACCTGATACTAGCTTCCACTGGAGCTACGTGGCAGTAACTGAATCCATCAACATTAGCCTGCGGCCGAGGGAATCACAATGTTAAAATGTTAAAGGTACAGAAGCAAGCAACTATAGATAATATGGTGTTGGCTTAAGCTGCAATCGTGAGCGCAGAGTAAAAATTAGGTTTGCTGGAGATAAACTACAGAAACAGAATGTGCTAGTGCAAGTCTGTTCCGGATGATGATGATTACCCTCGTATATGGCAGTGGAATACTTGATACAATGTGAAGAACATGGCCATGATCGCGACCTCCTACACCATGCCGCAGGAAGATCCCAGCAACCCAGTCCATTGGAGGGGCCAATCTAAGTCTGTTCCTCATAAACACCATGTT